TTTCAAATGAGTCAGGAGAAGTCAAGATTAATTTTACAAATGAGTCAGGAGTAGTCAAGATTAATTTTACACATGAGTCAGGAGTATTCAAGATTAATTTTACAAACGAGTCAGGAGTAGTCAAGATTAATTTTTCAAATGAGTCAGGAGAAGTCAAGATTAATTTTACAAATGAGTCAGGAGAAGTCAAGATTAATTTTGCAGCGCCCCCCCCCCCCCATCAGCCCTGGTCATATTGTAAGTAAAATGTGCACATGCCATGAATCACAAGAATAATTATGCACTCTGTAGGCTACAACATGGCATATAAACTTCAAAAGCAAAATATAAATGTTTATTACTGTTAATTTTGATTTTATTTACTCTTGAAACAGAACACTTTCAGGACCCTGGGCAAGTACATCTAGTTGTTAGATTAGCTATTCTGATAATATCAAGAAAAATGATGTATTTGCTACAGAAAGATAAATTACAAGATAAATAACAAATTTTATGTCATTAATGCCAAATTTGAATGTTTGTTGTTTTTTTCGTGAAAAGGACCACTTATTTGCAACCTTATATCATAAGAATGTTTTGTAAAACTATGCATATCATGGTGGTGAAATTGAAAAAGGTTATGAGGTTACCATGGGTAAAGTCCAATGTTATGTGTAAAGGTCTATTATTTTCATTAACTTCTGTTACTTTAATTCAATTTTACAAATATTTTAATGTTAAATTTAATCCATTGTACATTACTTAACTTTAAGTAACAAGACTGAAACTGCACAGATTGTAACATGTGATGTAGGCTCTTGTAAGTCTTGTTTATCTTAAAAGTTGACTTATATTATTTCAAAACATGGTATTTCAGAAAATAGAGAAAAACTACAACAAAATGATGACAGAAGAATCCAGCTTACCCATGGAACTGAATGGTTATGACAGCCAGGATGAGAGGCCTCCAGAAAGATGGGCTCCAGTCGGAGCTAGTGAACTTGATATGCCATCTTGTTCCTATGATTATTTTGGGTAAGATATTATTATTATTTATAACTGTTTTTGTGGTTATTTTGGTTAAGATATCATTATTTATAACTATTCCTATGATTATTTTGGGAAGTTACTATTATTTATAACTTCATTTTGTCACTGTAAGGTAAAAAATTATTTTTTGACATTGTGCTTTGTGATTCTATGTATTCGTTACATTTGAACTCTATGATATTAAGGAGTAATGGTTCACTAGTATATTTGGTGAATTGAACGTGGCCCAAGTTGAGATAATATCCTTTATTTATCATCGTGTGAACAGAATATTTTAGATTTTTGTTAGGAAAGATGAAGCATACTTAACTCCTTCAGCATGCATTCTGAAACAAGACTACCAAATAGCTTCAATATCTTCAACCACAAACATTTAGCATAGACTTAGACAATGGCAAATTTTATAACAGTATTTATCAGCAATCAGTACCAATTACTAAGTATTATATAATTTCATTCAGACTAAAAATTTAGTCCTAGCTATATTTTACAATGTTATTCTTCATATGATTCCATATGTTAGCCATACCGAACTTCTAATGCATTGTATTTCCTTAACTCAAATAATCCATTTTTCATTTTCTGTAAACCTCCAATTGAAAGCACTGACTTATTCATGTTGACATTTTCCTTGCTATTAAGCCATTTGCAATAGTGGGTCCTTTTTGTAATAAGATTTGTCTGCTGTGGTAATTATGAGTAAAAATAAAGAAGTTAAGACCTTGTAGACATCCCCCCCTCCCCCAAGCAAAGCTTAAATTTGTGCTTTATAACTGTATCTGTGATTAGATATTTGCATCCTTGACCTCATAGTTGTGATATTCATTGTATTCTTAACACTTGGCATATTTGTTATAGCTCTAGTGTTATATGATTATGTATTTAGTACTGTAGTAATATACCAGATTACAAGATGCATAAAATATAAGTAGTACTTTATATTTTGGATTTTTAAAAATTATTAACCTACTATTTAAATTTTAGGTGTCATTCTAACTGTTTTTGTTAAATTAAGTTGCACATTTTTGTCATCCAAAACAAAAAAAAAGCATTTGATAAAAACCTATATGTACTGAAAGTGATTAACATCAGGTTGTAATATAGTAAGTTGCACAAGAAAGAAATTTCTACAAATCATCAGTAGTCTCAAAGATAATCCAAGTTAATCTTTATAAATTGTAAATTACAGTGGTCCTTTGACAATGCAAATTTACAGGAAGAAAAGGGTTGATAAATATTTAGAGTACTGGTAGGGGATTTAGTGATAACTTTTCTGTTTGTTGAGAGGTTAAGGGCATACCACTCTACATAGCAATTTGTTCCACACATTTGCCACTCTATTGACAAAATATAATTACCTCAACTGGAGATGTCTTATCTTTCTAAATTCTCAATTTATAACCTTTTGTCATACTGCTATTAGAGCTCAGCACAAAAAAATCTAATGTCTCAATCTCATCACTTCTCTTAATAATTTTGAATATTTCAATTGGATCATCCCAACAATTCAATTTTAAAGAGAGAAATAGTAACAAGATATCAACCTTTACTCATATGAAAACCCATCTATCTCTGAGTTCTTCACCACCCAAGTTTCCTTTTTTCTCTAGATAAGGAGATGATATCTGCACACAGTACTCCAAATTAGACTTATTAAGTTTAAAATGTTTTTAATTCATTACTTATTTATCAAAAGAACATTTTCTCATGTGTTCATAAAAGAATATACCTTCTCATGAAGTTAAGAAACACTACTTAAACCAAAGAGTAACATTTTTCAATGTATGAAATAACTTTCCAGTTGAATAACTGTTTCTTTGTCATAATTAACAGTTTTATTATCCATAAAACATATCCTTTCAAAAGGAGCAAAATACACTTACTTTAACATGTCATAAAGGGTGCATAATTTAGTGTATTTTAAGTTATTCATCTAATTAGTCATTATGTTTCGTTAGTCATGATTTGCAATATCATGTACGATAGTTCACTATCAGGTATTTTGATAGAATTTTAGTCAGAATTTGGGGAATGAAGTCACAGACAAATCATAGTATGTTTAATCTTATATTTTGTAGTTTTAAAGAAAGCCTTAGTGCCATAGATTTGTTATATCTTGAAAGAATTCTTAAATTATTCAGTCGATAATGTTAATCAGATTTAACATATTATCTCTTAACATATTCCATTATTAGGGCTGTTATCCACCCTTTTGTTTCTACTCTATGTGCATTTGATAATATGAGGAAACCATATTTAAAGTTTAGACATTTAGAGGCTTTTTATTTTGGAAGTGATATTAAATTTTTGTTCCAGAAAAGATTTGAATAAAACCATGAATACAACTGTTAAATTTTCATGTAAGTGGCAAAAAATATACATAAAAATAGAAGCATTGTCTGAATAAGAGATTTGGTTTGACATTTAAATCTCTATCATGCACAAGGTAATGACATGACAGGAGTGATAAAATTCCAAGCTTGATTATCAAAAAAAAAATTACACTTTTCATATATGAAGTTAGACTGTCATGTGTCTTTGTAGATTCTACTTTCTTAACAGCTTGCAATTCATTGTCTTTTGTTAGTTGACAAACAAACAATACATGTGCAGGACAGTAAACTTTTATAAAAACAGTTTTATACAAATGCTAAATTCATCATTTCCCCTTTTCTTTTGCTAGATTACACTCCGAAAGCTAGATGTTGTTGTTTCTAATCCCTTGGTCATTAGATCAAGTCATGAAGAGAATACACATTTAGCAAATGCAAGGTTAATTTATGCTGTGGTACTTATTTTGAAGTTTTCTTCTTATCACACAATGAAGTTTCTCTTTTCTTTTGGGTTAATTTATGCTGTGGTACTTATTTTGGATTTGTTTTCTTCTTATCACACAATGAAGTTTCTCTTTTCATCTGGGTTATCGATGATTTAGTTATTGCCTGAAATCCAGTTTTCTCTTATTCCTCTAGGCATACTGTGTTTAGAGGTTTTCAATATTGAGTTTTTTCAGTTGTTACAATCATTTTCAACATCTTTTGTATCAGTGGTCTTTTTAAAAATACATCCACCTGAGATTTTTAAAGTTGGCTTTCTTTAAGTTCAAATAGTATTTTTCTGCTTGTTGTTGAGAGTTTTTAAAGTGATTAAGATAGGGAGATGATCACTTCCAATATCTTGTAAAGTGTTTCACTTGACTTTATTGTTTAAATCTGGAGAGATTATGGTCACGTCAAGAGCCTCTAGTGTTCCATATGAGTAGCTGTGTGTGGGGCTACCATCATTTATAATTATTAGTTCTAATTTGTCAAGATAATTATTGAGGAGTATTCCTTTGGAGTCAGTTATGTTACATCCTCATAAAATGTGTTTATTATTTAGGTCTCCTTGAATTATGGTATTTTTGTTAGTGAGATGGTTTATGTTATCAAGGTTTGGTCCAGGTTTGCTTGGGGGCTGGTTGGCATTACAGATTTGTAAAGAGTTTGACTTAGGTGTATTAGGATTCCCTGAATTTCTGTAAGGTTGTCTCTTGAGGAAGGAATATTCATTGTTGCAAAGGGATGATTTTTGATAAGAAAGGCTAGACTACCTCGACCGGTGCCATATTCTCTGTCTTTTCTGATTATGTGGTAGTTTTTGAGATTAATTTGGTTGCCTGGGCTAAGCTTTGTTTCTTGGCAGATGATGTAGCATCTTTCAATACTTGCTGAATTGATTACATCAGCAAGCTTTGATTTGGAGGTATTTGTTGAGATGCCATTGATGTTGCATTGAAGTATCTTAACTTTTTTCTGAGAGGTTTGAGTTGATCTGTGTATTGTGAATAATTTGATTCTGGTATTTGGAGGGTGGTGAATATTTTTCAAACAGGATCCTCTTCATAAACCCTGAATGTGGCTATTTCTATCCTGCATGATGAGAAAAATGGTGCAGCTGTTGTTGGTATTATCCAGGGAGAACCACAAAGAGGTAACAGCCTCACTTTGCTCTCCAAAGCTAGATGTTGAAATGTACATGATACATGTTGAGAAAAAGAAAAAAGATTAAGCAAGGAGTATTACTGTGATATTGTTGTAAGGTAAAAATAGGTTTTTCAACATAAATTCAATTTTTTAATGAAAATAGAAATGCTAAATATACATTCCTGATGCCAACAGTTATTCTTAGCTCTCTCTCATACATTTAGGGTTTGTTTTATTTTTTGTGAAATTGTGTATGATATTAAGAATTTGTATCTAAGCATCATCTTCCAAATAATTTTCCTTATACGTTCTTGCATTCTACAAGCTTTAAACAGAAATGAAAAGTAATTTTACCTTAGCAAATAAACTAATATGAATAATCTTTGTGTCATCATATATCAATTTCACAAATATGTGTTGGGTTTTTTTCAGCTCTTTATTGCTTCTCTCAGTGAGTACAGTTTCAGTTTTGTCATACAGTTTGACTTTAGATATTAGCTATTTTATATTAGTTTTCAAACTTTTTTTTATCATCATTTTAAGATCACATAATCTCGAGAACATTCTGTTCATTATTTTCTTCCAGCAACTTTAAAATCCAGTGCCATAGTTCTGTATTTTTATGTATACATCTAGTTAAATCTTCCCTTCAAATAATAAAACAGTGAAAGGAATGAAGTGGTGTAATGATTCAAATAATAACTTTAGAGGTATGTTATTACCCTTGCTCCTTGAGGGGGGAGCAAGGGTATTGCAATCAGGTCCATGTACTTGCATGCATGTCTGTCTGCGTTTTCATGCATGTATCTTGAAAACTAATAGACCAACGTACACAAATTTTACACAAGATGAGAAGTCAGTATGGAACAGTCCTTCCCAAATCTGGATCTGGATTGTGGATCACTTTGAAGCAATTTTTATAATGGGGGAGATAGGACATTTTTGCAGTTTGGAGTTAATAATTCTGTAAAGTGTGATCGGACTTGTACCACATTTCATGGGCACATTAAGATTAAGACACCTCATTACACTACAAAAAAAATTATCTGGATCATTGATCATTCTTGATCTGAGAAGGATTTTGCGAGTTTTTGAAGGTGAAATGTCATGTTATTCAGTATACTCTCGTGCAATCTCGAAAAGGAGTGGTGGGGCGAGGGTATGCTGTCTCTCCGATTGCTCTTGTTTTTGAGGAGAATAAAACATAAATATTTAGTGATCCATTCTCTTGTAAGTTTAGGTTTTTAATGTTGACAACTTATTTGAATTACTTATATATTTGTATAGGAATTTAAAGGTATACAGAGGTATGTGATAATGAAGGTTGTGTTTTAGTTTAAGATTTAAAATTTCACCCTATTATGAATCACTAACATGTAGCCCTCCCAGTGGCACAGTGGTATGTCTGCGGACTTACAATGCTAGAAACCGGGTTTCGATACCCGTGGTGGGCAGAGCACAGATAGCCCATTGTGTAACTTTGTGCTTAACTTCAAAACAACAACTAACATGTATTGCCATGTAAGTACAGACAAACACACAGAGATGTATATAAAACTTTCTTTAGCAGAAATTTGATATGGATAAAGAAATTAATATTAATGTCTACAACCAGTGAAGCCTAAATATATGTATAACATATTTGTTAGTATCCAATTCATATTGCTATAAAGTTTTTTTTTGTGTGGGTTGGCAATTTTAAACATAATATACTTATATGAACACACTTTACATGGAAAGTGAACATTCGTCTGCTGGTTGTATATTTTGAATCAGTTTTGTTCCTTACATCTAGTGTAACCTTCTGTTAGTCTTTATTTCAGAAATGATAAATGAAAAGTCTTGTACTAGATGGTGAGATTTCAGACTGTTATTCAACATATACATTATAATAATGTATTGACATATCACTGTGTTACAATGTTTTCTCAGCATTTGAAAAACTCGGGAAGAAAGGAATGTGGGAGATATTTGGGGCAATTCCTTTGGTTCATACAGCTCAGTTTGTGTAATAAAGTACGATCGGGTTATAGGGTGTTTAATCATTTCTGTCAAGACTTCTTGAACCTACGTGTTTTTCTAACATCATGAATATTTAATTCCACAAATAGCTGCCAGCCTAAGATATAATACACTATTCAAGTCACACTACAACTTGTATATGTGTTTATAGTTTGCACAGATTTTCTTATCGTAATACTCATTTCTGTGCTCGTAATGCTATTTGACATCAGTCTTGAATTACATAGATCCTGAACTATGATACACATGTTTATACAAGTCATACTGCAACTTATATATGTGTGTTTTATAGACTTTACACAATTTCATTTTTCATAGTACTTATTTCTATAATCATAATGTTATTTTACATGAGATTCAAAATACAAGGATCTACAGATTTGAAGTGGTGAATGAAAACTGTATGTAAAAAAAACTGTATCTGTGATGCATATAGTTGACAATGTATATCTTACTTCTTGTTTTATGATTTTTGAAAATTGTAAGTCTAATTGGTGCACATATCCATCACGGTAGGTTTTCCAGGTAGTTCAGTATCGTATCTTCTGTTAGTAATTCACCTCCTGAAAGAAAGAACATATAAGATTAATATTTGATCCTAGATCAGACTTGACACACACGTTTACAACAGCAGTTTGTTTCCTTTCAATGTAACTTTACAAGCTTACCTAGAAACATCTGCTAGAAGTTTTAAAAGCACTTTTTTGTTTTAAGCTCAGATGTTATACTATGTCATGTGATCACATGAATGACTGCAACGTTCTAGTTATTTTAGACCTTTTAATTTCAGTGTTTCTTGATGTGAACATTAAAAAAATCAAACATTTTCAGACTGACATAAGTTAATGTTTTTATTGAAAAGAATATGGAGAAAATCTAGTTGAGATATTCAAAAATCTATTCTTTACATTATTACTTTCTGTACAATTAGCTCAAGTCTGATATATTTTTAAATGACTGGAATGTTTGTAAGAGTACTCCATCAACACTACTTAATTTCATTATTTACCTAAAGAGACTGAATAGTGGCTAGTGTTCTTAAGCAAATAATTAATTTAATTCTTTTTTTCAAGGATATTTGTATAAATAGGAAATATTGGATAAACACAGAATCTCGTAATTTAAATGTACACAACAATTGCCAAAGAAGGATTAATGAAATTATGTAAACTTCCTTTCTAATGGCTCCTGTGTTTGTTTTCTTTATGTTTGATGACGGGGACTATATATAGTAATTTTATTTTCATAGTATAAATTTAAATAAAGTCCTAGATCAACATAAATTTTCTAAAGTAATTGCGTCAGCATTAAACTTACAAAAATATTAAACAATAAAACTTATTTGCCAATGACTATTACAAATGTTCATTTGGCATTAAAGGAAAAAAAAGCTCTTCTTACAATCATAAAGGAAAACTAAATTAATTATATATTTATATTTTGTAAAGCTTTGCAACTTAAGTATAATGCAGACAAAACATTCAATGGACTCTATAACTCCAGGAAATATTAGCTTTAATACTTAATATTTTGCTTTATGTCATCATAATCTGAGCACAATATATAAACGAGCCCAATCACGTTAATTATTGTAATGAGAGAGTTAAAGATAAAACTGTTTTTCACATATTCATCTTGGAAAGTTCTGCATCTTAATGCTTTAAAATATGGAAACTAATTTATCAAAAACTCTCTTCAGGGTATTGAGTGAAGCAGAACGTCTCCATCATCTGGAAGAGGAGCAAGAACAACTAAATTCTTCACTTATTGCTCTCACAACACACTTTGCTCAAGTTCAGTTCAGGCTAAAGCAAATTGTTGATGCCTCTGCTGAAGAAAAAGAAGTGAGAACAGAAATGATTTGTTTTTATCCTATATAGAGACTAAAATAACTAAAAACAGGATTGTGAAATTTAGAAAAACAATTAGTCAGCATTACAGATTTCTAAATTAGATTAAAAGTTTTCTGGATTGTGTATGTTTGCAATTTTATCGTATAGTTCTTTGTAATTATTCTCAGCTAGTCTTAAATAATACAGATATTAAATAATATGAGATTATCATTCCAACATACTGAAGAAACTTAATTTATCAAACAACAGGTACTTTTGAAAGAGCTGGAAGAGTTTGCATTTAGGGGAGTTCCTGACATAAGAGATTACAAATCAGGATCTGAACTTCTTGTTTTGCAGGTTAGTGTCATTATAAAACCAAGTTGTAGAATATTTTGAGAAATGAACTTATGAAAGGATTGTAGTTTGGACTTCTGTTGTTTATTTTTAGCTGTTTTATTTAGATATCTTAAAATCCATGTTTTTTTTTGGGGGGGGGGGAGTTTTGTTTTCCATACTGTAATGAGTATACTAGTATAACATATATTCTTTGCACACTAATTTCTCTTATAGGAGCAATAACAGGTGCAAAATATATTTCTATTTATCTTCAAGCTTTGTAAGAGTTGTTAATGTTTTATATGAAATTTTAAAAACAGACGTACCACTAAAGTGAGTTTAAGTGCATAATATATAGACAAATTTGTGAAATTTTCTGTTATGTTGGTGTTTTTATTTATATAGTGCATTTTTACAGTTGTGATTAGTTGTCATTATAGCTTATACAATACACAGTTACTGATATTAAAACTGTTACTGGTATCTTCAACTCTGTGGTAAAGGAAACAGTGAGTAGAGCATTGGTATTTACAATTAAGAGATTATGGTGTTTTGATTTACCTAAACTTCAAACTTCATTTACAGACAACTTCAAAAATGTGTCAAGTAAAAAGTATTGTAAAATAATCAATACATGTATAACAGTCACTAAATTTTCGAAGTGATTCACAGTGAGTTTAAGTGCATAATTCTTTTAACGGTACAATTTCTCAAAACATATCTCATCGTACCTTTAAGTTGGTCAGACTGATTTAGATAAATATTTGTGGTGAATCATGAATGGATATCTAGAAGGGTTTAAAATGTGGTAGAATGTCCTTATTAAAAATTCTTATCTTGGCAGCTTGAGTTGAATATATGATGCTACTGTTTAAAATGTAGTGTTTGTGTGATATTTTCAGTCATATTCCTTTTTTTCTTCATTTGTGCAGACAGAACAAGAATGTGAAGAGAAGCTAGCTCAACAGAGGAAAAAGCAGAAAGAACTAATTGATCAACTCAAGGAACAGCTTGAAGATCTAGAGAAATATGCTTACGAGGTGAATTAAGCAGAGTTAATCTCTGAATATTTTAATAAAACGAAATGACCCTTTTATGTTTGAAGCTACACAGAAAACTCAAGAAAACCATCATACAGGTTAAGGTTTATAATATTTTCCCTGTGATAATGCAGGCATATATGTAGTTTTTAAACAGTTTGTTTCTTAAACATTTTGTCTCTTATGTTGTAATAATTTTCATAGCATTTGATTAGATGTGTTATCACATAAAGCTGATGAGTATGTTTTAATACTTTGATCTAAATAAAAATGTTAAGAAACTTCTTACATACCTATATCCTATTTTATAGACAGGTGAGGCTGGTATGCCACAGAGTATGATCATGGAAAGGCAGTCTGTGATTATAGAACAACTAAAGGGGAAACTCCCATTAGACTTAGAGAAATTGGATACTCTCAGTCCAGAAGAACTCCGAAGTCATGTGGATAAAGCCATTCGGGAGGTAACTTTGTTTACCACAGAAGTAAATGGTTGATGTGAATGATAGTTTTAATGTTTCTGAACATTAGACACTCGATTGTATTTCAAGTGGTTCAGAGAACTAACAGTAATACTATTTTTACATTAAACAAAAAATTTATAAATAATGTGTATATACTAGGAAGTGAAAGGTTTACTTGCAAGACTCATGTGAAAAGATTCTTTTAAATTATTTGGGCTGATCGTGATTTCTTACTACGGTGAAACACACAGCTTATAGTGAGAATATTGAATGGATGGAATGGTTTTATGTAATTACAATGGATTTTAAACACACTAACTGGATTTTAATGGAATTGATTTTGTGATTGTGATTGCACTTGGTTATACACAAATGGTTCATTTTTAACTTGTGCTATAAAAACTACCTTAGACTTAATTTTATATTTATTGTTAATTACCAATACAATATTTTCTTTCCTTAAGCAAGTTTTAGTTGTAGAATTTTTTACTTGCTTGGGTCCAAAAGTTATTCATACTTAATCACAGAATTGATTTTTGGTCCTGTAGGAACTCCTTTGGTTTTTTAAACAAATTTTTTGAAACTATTTATCTACCAAATTGCTTCTGGGCTTATAACTTAGTTAGTTACATGTCACTGATAACATGAATTACACAAAAAAATGTGAACAAAAAATATCTGTATTTCAGTTAATACTACTAATTAGTGCTGGGGTCTTCCATGAATTTTACACAGAAATTGAAAAATACAATAACAATAGTATAAATGTAAACAAGCAAATCTCCACACACACATAACTGAATCAGTATTTACTTTTTTAATACCCATGGTTAATAATTTTTTCTTGGAACCTGTAGTAATGTGTGATTTTGCACAGAGATTTGATATATACTGATAATACATAGAGATTGTGTGTATGTAATGACATGGAACATATTTATTTAAACATCATGCTTGATTAACTGTTTCATTGTAATAGCTCTATGTGATAACAAAACTCTCTAGTTTCTAAGATAAAAACATTTATTTTCCTCTCATACTAATTAGTTCTTTCCATCCTTTTACTGGCATGCAGCTGGTTTACCCTGTTAAGATGAAAGAACAACTAGTTAACCAACTGAAAACACAGATATCTGATCTGGAAAGGTTTATTGAATTTGTTCAAGGTAATTTCTTCTATCTCACCTTACGTTTTTCGTGGTTTAAGTAACATGGAATATCTAGCAGTTATGTGTAGGTGGATTAAACATTTGATACACTTGAAACTGACATTTGATTTAATATTAAAAGTTTGTGTTCTAGAAATTGGAATACATTATGAAAAATAATATTAAGAGAAGGGAAAAATACTATATTCTGATATGATACTTTACCTCCACATAATTGTTATTCTTGTTCAGTGTTGCCCTTTATATGCAAAATTTTTTTCATGCCACAAGTCTTGGAATTCCACCTACCCCATGATCAGTGTGGTTCACTGTGTCTTCGCATGTAAATCATCATGCAACATCCCTTGACCAATAGAAGTGTAAAACACCCTACTGATTCACGTGACTCCCTCTATTCGATTCTACCTAACTATCACTTCTTATTAGGCAGTGGTCTTGTGCAGACATTTCATATATAATGAAGTTTTTATCTCTTTCAAGGTAGTGCTTTCAAGTTTTTAATATTTTTTTTTCTACAGTTTCGTCATGGTAATTTATCATCAAGAAAACTTATCTTTAGTTTGTTTCTTCTTCTTGCTTTTTCTCACAGTCAATTATGAACTCGGAATTTCATGTCATGACTTTAGCTACAGTTAGCACTACTTTGATTGTCATGATACAGGCTTCAGCTATGAATTTTTTGGCCATTATTTGCAGGGATTTAAATTTTACGTGTTTCATCTCTCTTTTCCCAACATTGTACCGGATCCTCCTGTACCTGTAATGTCTGTTCGTGATTAGAATGATTTTGAGAGCCCTTTTTTTCATTGCTTATGTCTCTCATGTTGAATCTGCTAAGCCTATCTTAGCCTTTATAGATAGGTTTTCACAGGTTTGATATTTTTTCTGTATTCCTAGTTTCATATAATCCTGTCACTGAAAATTTACACACTACCCCATTGTCTAATTACTCTGTCTTCTCTCCTGACAAATTTAAAGTGCATGCTGTGCATTTTGTTTCTTAATTGAGAGCTGGTGTCAACATGCCTTTTCGTCCACCACAGGCTTCTGACCATTATGTTTTAGCTTACTTATCAGGCCTTTTATCCCTTTCTTAACTTTCAGCAGTTGGAATCCGTTTTGTCTTTGTGGTGGGCAGATCATGTGAATCCTGTATGTTTATCCCAAACCGAATTTTCCTGCCTTTGTCTTCACCTTACATCTCTTCTTTACACATATCTTTATGACCTGTGGATGACCTTTTTTCTCCGTAGGTCTCTTTGATGATATTCCTGAATCTTTAGAGTCGTGTTTAGACTCCACGAGATCACCCTCAACCATTTCTTCCTTGGTTGTTCCTTTGTCTTAGCCTGCTCCTGTACCTGTTTCCCATCCTTCACCTTCCCATCTTTTGCCTGTCCCTTACTTCAGGGATCTGTCGTTTCACTCGCAGTTGTATTCTTCATTATCAACAGTTCCGATGACTATCCAGTGGTGTTAAGCTCAGTATTGGCATGTTTGTCTGATTTATTCACCTGTGGCAGAATTTATATCCCAATCCATGGGTTATCAGAAGTTTTTCTTATCAGACATTTTCTTCATTTCCCTCCTCCTTTGTCTATAGATCCAGTATCCTTATCATTACTTTGGGATCCTGCTACCAGTCAGCATCTATTTGAGGCTCTTCAGACTCCTCTGTCACAGTGTGTCATCAAGCCTGTCAGCCTTCCCCAGATTTTTACTCCAGGCTTTTTGTCATCCTCAAGAAGACCGTGGACTAGTCTTGTGATCACTCTGTCCTGACTCCACTAATTTCTGGATCTTCCCTGCTTTTCCATGGAATCTTTTTTTCGCCCTTTGGTGGGTTTTTTTCTACAGGTCTGTGGATGACTAAAGTGGACATCTCGGATGCTTATCTCCATATTCCCATTTCTCATCAGTCTCAAAGCTATCTTTGATTTGTCCACAACAGGGTTGTATTTCAGTTTTGTGCTATACCTTTTGGGCTTGCTTCAGCACCGTATGTGTTTTGTCAAGTGGTCAAAGCTTTTGTCCGACTTATACATACTCATGGGTTGTAATTCCACCATTATATGGGCAGCTGGCTTCTGTTAGCTCCTTCTGAACTGGTTTCTTCCCAACACACTTATCTGCTATTGACAAAAGTAGCTTGTGTTGGTTGGATTCTCAAGAGGGAGAAGTCTTTCCAGATTCCTACCTAATATCTACATGGGTGTGTTTTTCAATGCTCACCTCAGTCAGCTCAACCTTCTCCACTTCATCTGCATTTGCTGGAGCTTTCAGTTCATTATGCCCTTTCGTCTCCCTCCTTTTCTAAAAGCGAGGTTCTATCACTTTTGGGGACTTGAATTTTTCATGAGAGCTCTTATCCTTTTGGGTTGTGCACATATGCATTCTCTTCTGTGGATGTTGTTGTTTGGAATCTTTTGGACTCTCCAGTTACTTTTCCTCCTTCCCTTCTCTATGATCTCCATCAGTGGTTGAACAAAGACAACACTGTTACAGGGGTACTGCTTTCTCCTTCTCATCTGGATTTGCATCTGTTCATTGATGCTCCTCCCCAGGGGTTGAGGGCATGGGTTGATCAGCAGAAGTCTTCCAGTTAATGGTCTTGGATAGAAATGTCATCCCATATCAATGTCTTGGAGCTTCTAGTGGTACAATGTGCTTTGGATAATTTTCTTCCTATTGCATGGAACAGACTCATCATGATCCATTACGACAATTCCACAATTAAATCTTATTTCAAGTGCCAAGGAGGCACCCAGTCTCTTTCCCTTTGTGTTCAAATATTGGAACTACTATATTGGGCCCACACACTGCAGATACGTCTTATAGCGTGTCATTTTCTGGGTGCTTTCAACTTTGTGGTGGATCGTCTTTCCCCCATGGAGTGGTCCCTTGACCCTCAGATTTTTTGGTGGCTTTGCAATCATTTGGATACTCCTCATCTTGATGGTTTTGCCACTTTCCTTAATATCAAGTTCTCTTTTTTTTTTCTGTTTCCTCATCTACAGGCCCTGGCAGTCAATACTCTCAGTCAGGACTGGACCAACTGGTATCTTTATGCCTATCCTCCTATCCAGCTCCTTTCCAGGGTGATTTTAGTCATTCATTCTACTCCTTGTCAGGTCCTTCTGATTGCTCTTTACTGGCTGGCACAACCTTGGTTCCTTTTCTCCTTCAGCTCCAAACTACCCCATTATCTCTTCCTCTCACTCCATCTCCCCCACCTCAGTCAATGGACCTTTATTCTGCCATTCACACCCTCCAACTTCATGCCTGGCATTTCTCTGGTCCCTTTCAAAGAGATCCAGATTGTCTGTACATGTCACTTCCTTTTTAGCCTGGTCTGTTCCCCTTCCTCCCCTGTGGCTTATCAACATAAGTGGAAAGTCTTCCATCATGAGTTGTTAAGCTCTATTGGTTTCCCCCTTTTTGGCCAACTGTTCCTCTACTTACAGATTTTCTTACTTGGTTGTTTGACTATGGGGCTTCCATTGCAGGTTATTGAGTAGCCTTGTCCAACACCTTTTGTTTTTCCAGACACCATGTTGTGTTTCCTCTCATACTGTCTCCCTTTTATTGAGTTCCTTGCAGATGCATCAACCTCCTCGTCTGGCAGTTCTTCCATATTGCAATGTCAGTATCGTTCTTCACTGTCTGATCTGTCTGTTTAGACCCATTTCCTGCTCCTTTCTAGCCTGTGGGCATTGTTGTTCTAATATATTTGCCATCAACATTTCACATCCTCTGTTCCATTTCACATATGTTCTCCTTTATCCGGATTTATCTTTCCTGCCCAAAACTTCAGCAGTTCATGAGGGGCATTCTTCATTCATGCTGATTTCTCTTCCCTCCATTTCCCACCTTTATTTTCAATCTGATCCAGATAGACTTCTACATTCTACTTCCCTTTCTACCATCATTTAGATGCCAGATTCCCGGATGACTAATGTTGGTTGTGGATTTGCACACATGCCCTGTTTAGTCGACCAGTATGGAATTTTTCTCCTTCTGTTCTACTCAACTTGAGGTGAAGATGGTTTGGAACCTGCTTCTACCATGGATCGGATTATGTATGCCCAATGCTATCTGGTTTTGGACTAGAATTGACCAGCCGAGTATCGTCTGATGTGCCCTAGCCACTCTACACAAGAAGCACATTCATTTTAGCTTTTCCCACCATCTGATCTGTTGCTGGGGGCCCTATATTCATTCTTATCTTTGACTATGATTTTGGTGAATTCAATGGGATGAGGGGTCAGAACCACCCAGATTTTTTCTCTCATTTATTGGATGTGCTCCTTCCAATTTCCACCAGTTTATTCAACACCTACTACCACACTGAGTGAAGAGTATACCTGGTACAAAAGTGGTACGGTCTCCCACATGTGTTCTTCTCCCAAAAGGAGTTCACACTCCATGGGTGTTCTTTGGATGCTTATCTACACAGCGTGGTCACAAGTAAATAGACACTACCTTTTCAGAAAAAATGAAATCTTTCAGTCATATTCACATGAATTGATATATTTATTATTTAATTAATATCTAGTAGATCTTCCTTTCGCTTTGTGGAGATCGTTGATCCTTTGGAGCATTGTGAGAATCATCTCATCAGTTTTAGATTGTGGGATTTTCGCCCACTCTTGCTTCAAAACTTGGAGTAGATCGCTCTTCGAAGTTGGTTTTTTGGTTGTTTCTTGACTTGCCGGTGGAGTATGGCCCAGAGTTTTTCGATGGGGTTCATGTCAGGAGATTGGCTCGGCCAGAGCAACTTCTGGATACCATTTTCTTCCTGCCACTTTTGGATGTTTCTAGCAGTGTGACACAGTGCTCCATCTTCCTGGAACAACGTTGTGTTCTTGTCCACGAAACTCGAGGAATAAAGTAGCAAGAGTCCTTCCTCCAATATTTCGATGTATTTCGCAAAATTTATGTTGCCAACGCACTCCACTAAGCTCGATCTCCCACCAACCCAAACAGCTCCCCAAACCATCATGCTGAAACCACCATGCTTCACAGTTGGCTGCAATCTGTTGAGCCAAAACTCTTGGTGAGGCATTCTCCAGACCCATATCCTTCCACTATCCAAAAATTGAGCGAATCTTGAATCATCTTAGAACAACACAGTCTTCCAAAAGTCCAGAGGCTTGGTCATCATATCACTTGCCCACTTCTTTCGTCCGACTATGTTGGCAGGTCTTAATAAGGGCTTCCTTCTAGCTGCTCTGCAACGATAACCCAATCTGTGGAACAGATTTCGGGCTCATCCCACCAACTTTGGCCACTTCTGCAGTCGTAAATCTGGGATCCATTTCAATGCTCCTCTTTACAGCCCTTTTTGTCCTCTCCGATGGACCAAGACGACCCGGACACTACTCAGTTGTTTACTTGCCGTGTTTCCTAAACTGCACGATGATTCAGTTCACTGTCGAAAGCGGGATTACCAAATTCTGCGAAATTTGTCGCTGACTTATTCCACCATCTGCTTGACCAACTATCCTTCCTCTAACAAAATCTGACAATTCGAGAGAACCTTGAGTTCTAGGCATGTTGTAGCACAAGATAATTAGTGTGCGGACAATTTCCATTTATATAGTGCTCTGTGAACACAAATTAGTTAGCATAAATCAGTTAAATGACAAAAATTACTTGTGACCACGCAGTGTATATCCCTCACACCAGTCTCTCCATCTTTTCATTGTGGGATTCTTGCTGTTGTGTGATAGGAGGTAAGGTACCATATTGGAAGTTATTATTTTCCTACACTGAAAATATATTTCTGATAGGTACTTTCATTGTCGGAAAATATTAACATTCACCTTCATGATCCTAAACTTTTATTTTAAGGCAACGGGTTTTACAAATGTTATGTTAAATGTAAACAGCACTTTCTTGTAACAAAATGTCATTAATGGCTCTTGAATGCACCATTGTATCCTTGTTTTGTGTTTTATCACAAAATAGAAACAAAAATCATGTTTAAAACAACAAAACTAGTGGAATTTTCAATATTTGCAAAGGAATAAGTATACTTCAGCATGCAGTTTAAAACTTCATAGGAATACAAACAAATTTCTCAGCACTAAAGTTACAGTATTATTCAGCAGGAAGTGATTATCATCAGAAACTGTTGCACCGTAACACTTGATGTCAGCATGCAGTTTAAAACTTCATCGGACAACAAACAAATTTCTCAGCACTAAAGTTACGGTATTATTCAGCAGGAAGTGATTATCATCAGAAACTGTTGCACCATAATACTTGATGTCAGCATGCAGTTTAAAACTTCATAGGACAACAAACAAATTTCTCAGCACTAAAGTTATGGTATTATTCAGCAGGAAGTGATTATCATCAGAAACTGTTGCACCATAATACTTGATGTCAGCATGCAGTTTAAAACTTCATAGGACAACAAACAAATTTCTCAGCACTAAAGTTATGGTATTATTCAGCAGGAAGTGATTATCATCAGAAAACTGTTGCTCCTTAATACTTGATGTCTGTGTTTTAGTGCATCCAGTTTTGATGTAAAGAAACTATAATAGTAACAAACAGGAATATGTCTTTTCAAATCATGCCTTAGGTGCAGTCACAAGATGTATTTACATTCCTGTTATCTTACATCATTGCTCTTTAACATTGGTTTAATTTATCAACATTTTAAACCTTATGCTGTGTTACTTTGCATTTACCATGTTTTTAGTGTGTGTGTATATATGCCAAACCAAAATTTTCAGTTAGCATAACTGAGCATGTTGAATACTTTCTGTTAGTGAGTTTTTGTTAAGTTGAGTACAGAGGAAAGATAAATGGTGTTTTTAGAATTTAGCAGTTTAATGTTGCATTCCTTTAGTGTAATTAAACATATATTTTTCCCCGTGCATGTATTTTCCTTCCACCCACAACCTCCAAGATTAGATGTATTATTACATTAGCTTGTAAAATAGAGATAGCAATGTTTCAGTGCATGAAAAGTATGACTGTATAATGAACTAATGATTTCATTCAGTATTTGTACTAATTTGATGATTTACCAGGCCAAACTTTTATGATGTTAATTAAATGCAGTTTCTAAAAATGAGAAAGAAAAGTTGACAAACTGATGACAGAATTAATTTGTATTTGAGCTCAAATTACAAATTATTCAGTTATACTAGATGAAGTGCCCACCAGTGGCACAACAGTATGTCTGCGGACTTACAACGCTAGAAACCAGGTTTCGATGCTCATGGTGGGCAGAGCACAGATAGCCCATTGTGTAGCTTTGTGCTTAATTCCAAACAAACAAATACTAGATGAAGCCGCAAATTCTACAAAAAAAAGTTTTTGTATCCAGAATGTGTTGTCATATTGCAAACATGTAGTGATGGAATTCTTATAACCAACTAGCACCCTCATATTGTAATAACGTTTGTTGTTTCAAATAAATATTACTAATTTTATCTAAATACAGCTAAATCTAGACCTGATATTTGTGCCTTTAAATAGCCTTAAGTTATTTTGTAGAAATAGATGTAATAAAAAGAATGACAGAAACATTTTATATTGTTAAGGATACACCATAAATTTCACTTCTGAATTGGCTATTAAGTCTATGTTTATATTGGCATTGTTTCTTGTGGACTATGCAGAAGGGAAAAAATTAAATTATGGTTTTCTAAATGGAGAAACACTGGAATTAGAAAACAGTCTTTGGAGCTTTAAAAAAGCACTTACATTTTTCTACATATCTAGAAAATGTAATTTTAACATTTCAACATAATTACTGTTTAATAGTTAAACTGATTTTTCCAGTTTTTTGGTAAATAAAGTTTATTTCCTCTGAAGTCAAAGGTTTTTCAATTACCCAGACTAAACTTGCTTAATAAAATCAGTCTAACCTCTGAGAGGTAATTAATCACAATCTTTTGATACCAGAGAATCAGTCTTTCTTTACTTCCAAACATATAACAGAATTATCCTTAACATTTAAGAAGAGTAATCAGATTAATTATTCATTTTTATGGAAACTGTTTTCTTCTTTCCATGTAATAGTATGAAACTTGTTGGTGTAATAAGTCATAAGATTGTTAATTTAATTATTCAAAGGATATAATTATTCATTTTTATGGAACCTGTTTTTTCTTTCCTCATAATAGTTTAAAACTTGTTGATGTAATAAACCATAATTGTTAATTCAATTCTTGAAAGGACATAATTAGATTTTATTCTTTAAGAATATATTGTTTGTTTTATTATGACATAATTTCTCTTTCTTCGCCCAAGTAATATTTTCATTCTGAATTTCGTTAGAATTATTTGTATAATATATAATACCATCAAATATCAAGAAGTTAAAATACTTTTAATTGCTATCCAATTAAAATCAAAAAGGCAGATATCACCTTCAGAAGCTGTCCAGCATGGATTACAATTCTTAATCTTGTTCTCTGCCTTTCCTCTTTGTTTTTAGGAGAAGCCACAGTGGAGGGAAAACCAAGATGCACTTGCAACTGTCCTATTCATGGCCGGGTACGTTATTCAGACATTACTTTAAAATATTCTCTATACTTTGGCCATGTTTTTATTAGTTATGCAATTAAAAAAAGTGTAATATATTTCGCTTCTTTTTCTCATACTACAAGGTCCATGCTGGCATGGCCTAGTAGTTAGTATATTGGACTTTGAATTGGATGGTCCAAGACTCAAGCCATGATATACAAATGAAATTGCTCTGTACTTTTAGCTATAGAAGTTATAACTGTGACCATCAGTACTGCTATTTATGTAAGTGTAGTGGTGCTGCTGAGTGGTTGCCCTCTCTTTCTCTGTGGGGTCTCTAATCTAGCTGTTTGGCCCAAGTATCACCTAAGGAGCCATTATTTACTAACTATCACTTCTCATATTAATAAATTAAATTTATAACATTAAAAGAAGTAATAAAATACCTATTTAACCCTCTCTTCATGGTCATCTTTTTCTATGCATGTCACAAATTTTTAGTGAGTTACATTCAAAATGTAATTAAACTACTTTCTTTTCATGGTATACTAATAAATATAGCATGATTATATAGCTATTTATCTATATTTTTATAGTATGTAAATTTTAAATTCTTACTTTTGTAAGGTAATATTAAAAACAAAAAAAAAAGTTGGAATGCTCCCTAGTGTGAAAATTGTAACATTTGCTCTCTAGACATCTCTTCTTCTCTAATTTATTCACCACCCCTCCAATAAGTATGAATTTTAACATAAATTACTCATTATAATATTGTTATTGCCTAGACAAAGCACAATTTTCATTACCTTCAATCTTATTCAGTTACAGAGCCATCCACACCTATCACCTCCTCTCTTTCAGAAATTGCCAGTAGTACTTTCTGACGTTCAATACTATGTTATTTAAAACCAATGAAAAGCCAAGGTTTTCATCTATCAAATTACAATGTTTACTGTAAAGAGAATTTTCAATTTTACTTTAAGCTTGATTCCGACGGGAAACAAATCGATGAGCTTAGATGAAGTTTTAATGGCTTTTGTCACATGGATAAAATAATAGAAAAATTATGATAGTTATGGGACATTGTCCGCATCTTGCACGCTATTATTCTTTGTTCTTTGGTACGTTATCTAATTAAATAAAAGAATTATTAAATGCAATACTACCTCGGGTAAGAACATCATTTCTTGTTTTTCATGTTTATTCTGTATTTATTATTATAAAAGTAACTTAAATGTAAAAATAGGAAACTTTATGTTAGCTAATGTTAAATTAGATGAAATAAATAATAATAGTAATATAATAAAATTTGCTTGCGAGTAACTCGTGTGTAATGTAATTTGATAGTGTAACATGAACTGCACATTTGCCAAGTGATTTACAACTTATGATGGTGCAAATAGTACTTAGGGTTTAAAGGGCAATAAGGCCATAAAATTTAAGTATAAATAGATGTATACTGTTATGAGTTTAATCCTTTTTGTGATGGGCTCAGTATAAAATACATGAGTTTGTATACATGTTTGCAGTTATACTATAACTTTTAATGCAGTATGTGTGTGTCTTCACAAACTTTTGTAGACTTTTAGTAAGCATTACAAGGCTTTTGTGCACAAATATCAGATTTTTTAATGAAGTATTTTTACTAAAGATTTGTTTGTGAATTTATCGAGTTTGTTTCGTTACTAGTCTGAGTACGAAGTGATTTTTCATGTTATGTTTAAAAACTATTCTTCATCCCAAAAATCTCAAATATCATTTGTGTAACCTCTACAACCTCCTAAATATGTTTCGAATGTTTGTTTTCAGTGAAACTTTATACTTTATCTGTTATTTTCTCTAACCTAACTCTATATGTGGTCAGTCAATTTGACTGACCTTGTAACCACCATAAAAAAATTAGGAAATGAATATAAGTTATACTTTTTTCATTCTAGAATGACTACAAATTATAATATGAAAACACAAATGTTCAGTCTAAATAGCTTAAATCTCATAATATTATACATACACATATATATGTGTGTATGTATCTATTATTTTCATTATATTGACCTTTTCAGCCATGTCTGGCTAACATTACAGAAGTTGCAATGATGTGGTGCATGTGCACTCATGTTACCATACCCAAAAATATAAAACTTGCCTTCACAAACTGACCAGTCTTGACTGTGTTTTAGTGGACTAGTATTTTGTAAAATAGGTGTTATATAAGTTAGATGTTATATTTGTCTATACATTATTACTATTGACAAATATGTTCTTAAACTTATTTTTCTTAAAACATAGAACAGTATAGCAAACAATTATCTCTTCTAGCTTTGACATTTGTACTTGTTTGCTGCTTGACCTAGGTTGCTAATCCTTGTCAAATTTCACATGTGAAGGATGTGAAACAAAATATTATTTTTTTTAGTTTTAATATATATTCTGAAATAACCAAAAATCATAAATTACTATATCAATACCATATAATACCACTATAATTTATCAAGCTTAGAAATTTTGAGCTCACTAAAGTCTTACCTTACTGCTTCGAATCTTATATAAAAACAAAGATTTCTATATCTGTATATCTGAAAAAGGCTGAGAAAGTCACAAGGGGGACATTCTGAGCTTTCTTTGGTTATTCACACATCATAGACAGGAGTAGATGTATGTAAGTGTTTCCAAAAATATAACACTATCTCAGCAACTAGAAAAGACAGAAGGTTCTTATTTTATATTCTAGCTTGTTAATATAGGTGATTTGAGTACCTAATTCATAAGAAACTATAGACTTTGTGTTTTGACATCACAAACATCTAATTTGAACCAATGCTGCATTCAACATACCAAGTGACACACAAAAGTCAATGTTTAAGTGTTTGTTTAATGTTTACTTTTAAATTAAGAAAGTAACTAATGTGTAATACTAACACTTGAATTGTAATCTTCAATTTGATACCAAACTTATTGACATAAATTCAGAAAATAGTATTTGAATAAAATTTTGAATGCAAGTCAACAAATGTGATAACATGGCCTTTAACCTGTGACCCATGTTGATAGGATTAAAGCTACTTAGGATAAACAAATGTAGTTTCATGTTACAATTTGAAGTCATTCTAGACAGAAAAAAAAAAGATAATTTAGATTTATTTCAATTTGTTTTTGGTGGTTACGAGGTTGGTCAAATTGACCAACTTTGTATAGTGTTAACATAGAGAAAATAACAGATAAAATATAAAGTTTGACTAAAAAAAATCTTTTGAAGTGTATTTTGAAAATTACACAAATGAAGTTTGAGATGAAGGAAGTATTTTTAATCTTATCATGTAGATCATTTGCACTCAGACTGGTCAAAAAGACTTGATATATTCACGGACAAATCTTTAGTAAAAGTACTCCATTGAAAAATTGATTTTTTTTGTGTACAAATGACTTGTAATGTTTAATAAAAATCTGCCTAATTTTGTGAAGATATCAGAAGTGTATTAAAAGTTATAGTACGGAAACTATAACAAGTACAAAATGTAACTATAACACGTACCAGCCTCATAGCGAGAGAGCTAAATCTATCCACATGGGCTTGGACGAACTGACCAACCTTGTAACCACTTTGTACTTCTAATAGTTTCCATACTATAACTTTTAATACAGTATGTGTATGTTCACAAAATTTGGGAGACTTTTAATAAACTTTACAAGACTTATGTACATGAAAAAACAGATTTTTTAATATAGGATTTTTACTGAAGATTTGACAATGAATATATCAATTAATTTTTTTTGTCTAGTCCAAGTGCAAAGGTGTTTTCATATCAAGATTAAAAATCTTTTTTTCTTTGTCTTAAAAATGCAAAATTTCATTTGTGTAACATCTAAAACCACCTAAATACATATTAAACTTTTTCAGTAAAACTTTATATTTTGTCTGTTATTACCTTTATTTCAATGATATACTTGATTCTTTAGCCTGTAAACAAATGATCAAGGTATAATGGAAAGAAAAGTTGTAAAATCAGAAATAGAATGAGCAGCTATGCCGTTTTCTTTATTGATGGTCATGAAGTTGCAAAGTACTTGAGAGTTTGAACTGCTAAACATTTAACATTTATTTTACTGTCAATGACTAAAGTAGAAACCAACTAAAACTAAATCAGTAAATTGACACTTGTGTCAGTAGAATGTTTACGTGACACTGTAATACGATACCCTCGAAAGCAACAAAGCATGTGCGAAGAGATTGCCGACTCGACCCCCTGCTCTGAGAACAGGGTGTCTAATGTATAGGATTATATATCCTACAATGTTTTCTTGGAAAATTTAGAGTATTAACACCACACTTAGAATCAGTGAAAATGTTTATGATGACAACAGGATGTGGAATTTATCAGCTTATGTATGTATTCTACAGTGTTTATAACAATAATTCTCCAGAGTAATAAGACTGTACTTTGAATCTGTTAAAATGTTTATTATATGGTTCAGTGCTGATACAGTTAACTTTGCAATTCTTTGAATATTGGTAATCCTTTTGAAGTGTTTGGAATTTAGCGGCGTAGGTGTATAAAAATATTATTTGAGCACATGCTTATAAAATCCTATTCCCCTTTTCAGCTCATATTCTTATTCAGTACAAAGAAAGTAACAGCTGAATCTTTAACTTGGGTAAAAAATTCACAATTGAGATTAAAGTTGAGGTAGGGCTGTAATTTTGAACACGTTTTAATGTTAATATTTAATTCAGGATAGGGAGACTAATACCAAACTAGATGTCTATGAAATGGATAATTTCTAGTGATAAATATTTTGTTTCTAGGTTGTCACAATTTTAAAAACTCCTAAATTATTGTTTAAGTTTGCGGTTTTCATTTCTTAAAATTTTGTTTTATATTTCTGGCAGACTGTCTCCATTGATACTTCTGACATAGGTAGTGGATGTTGTTCACCAACCCAGCAATACAGACGTAACCTGAGAGATCAGCACAATTACCCCAAGGTAGCATCAAAACATATATTTTATTTCAGTCAGGGCATTGAATCTTACTAGCAGAAATTCCACTCTAAGGAAGGCTGTTCGTGTTATAGATTACTTATCATATCTCATTGAAAAATATTTTTTAAAAAGTGAACATTTTCTAAAAAAGGATTTTTTTTGGGGGGGGGGGAGTACTGCACAGGAAAATTGTTTGGATTGTGCTCTTTAGTCATATGCAACTCATTGCATCAAAATGATTCAGTGTACAGAGCTGAAAATTTTCATAAATTTGACTGATATAAACTGTAATGTTTTTATATATCAAAAGTGGTACCATTTATTGAAAAAATAATTGTTTTTTTAAGAACTCCAGTTTCTCAGTACCACATTTAAAAATTATATCAATGAAGGTATAATCAAACCCTCATGTACAGTCCTAGTGAAAGTCGTATTGTTGACGAGAAGAGAGTACTTTTATTTAAAATTGTGTTCTGTTATAAATAAATGGTTGTTGCACATACCTCAGTTGTTCTTCTAATTGTTTGAATCTTGAATATCCATAGTGTGAAATTTTTATGGAATTTTTGTTTGTGGTGCCATTCAATAGATAGTGCAGGAGTTTTGGTTACATACTAGATACGGGCATACACGCTATGTCCATTATAGTAAGAAGATTTAAATAAAAGGAAGAAATACTTCACACACATGAACTTTCATATATACATGATGTTTTAGACATTTTTCAATATTATCGTACAAAAGGTATTCATCCTTAAACTATTTTCAAGAAACTTGATTTCTAAGTGACATTGTTATATTTGACATCTATTGATTACGTCTATTACAGCTACACTTACCTGTCACATCCTCTCTTTCTGAAATTGCCAACAATTCTCTCAGACATTTTGTATTATATCATTTATAACCATTAGAAAAGCAAGGTTTTAAGCTATCAAATGATATATAATGCTACATTGTTTTCAGTACGTAGTATTATACATTTTGTCTTCAGTTTTCAAGTTAATCTTGTACTGTTCAGATAGAGTAGCTAAGGAAATTATTTTAATTAGTTAGAAAGCCAGTTAAATGATAATAGTTATAGGACATTGTTTGCTTTGTGTGTTGTTGTTATTCTGTATTTGTAGTTGTATTATTTGAATAAATAAAAATTGTTTAGTATACTAGTACCATTAGTATAGAAAAAGTAGGCTTAAACTTCATTGGAAACTGACAGCAAAGAAAGTACTGTATTTCTTGTTGTTATGTATAACTTTTATTTATAGTTATAAAAGAAACTGAAAACTTATTAGGTTAACTTGGGTAAGATAACAAAAAATGATGATAAAAATTATTTTTGATGGTGCTCGTAAACAGCTTGCGTGTTATGTCATTCAGTATAGTTACACAAACTACACATTTACCAAGTGATTTATAATTGTATAACAGGAATATTAGTTAGACATGATTCAAAGGGCAATAAAATTAAGTATAAACAGATGTTTATTGTTACAAGGCTTAAGCTATTTAGGATGAACAATTGTAGTTTTCTTTACAATCTGCAGTCATTCTAGAAAGAAAAAAGGATAATTTAGTTTCATATTTTTTATGGTGGTTACAAGGTCAGTCAAATCAATCAAGTCTGTATAGAGTTAGGGTTGAGAAAATAACATAAAATATAAAGTTTTGGTGAAAAAAAAGTTTAATATTTATTTAGAAGGTTGTAGGGCTATGCAAACGAAATTTGAAAATTTTCAGATGAAGAAAAGTATTTTTAATCTTAATATGAAAATTACTTTAGAATCATAGCAGTGAACACTGATTCGATATATTCACAGACAAGTGTAGTATAAATACTTAATTAAGAAATTTGGTTTTTTGTGTAAAAAAGATTTGTAATGTTTACTGAAAGCTTGCCAAATTTCTTGAAGATACGTTAACTGTATTAAAAGTTATTGTATGGAACCTATGAGGGTTACTTTGTGGTAATAAGTTGTTCACATTGACCAAATGTTTATGGAAAGAGTTAATACTTAATTATTTTAATACCGTAATAGTTAATACTTAAGTCTTTTTGTATCATTATAGTCTAAAGTGAAGTCTCTGTACTGTGATAGCTAAAACTGAAATCTCTTTGTACCATGATATTTAATGCTGGATTATTATAATATCATGATGGTTAAATATGGATTTAATACTGAATTAGTTTAATATTGTGATAGCTAATACTGATGTCTCTTTGTATCATGAGAGTTAATACTTACATCTCTGTTTTATGATTGTTAATGTCAAATTCTTATTATCTGCTCACATCATGATAAGTAACATGTTAAATATTCTTGCATCATAATACTTGAAGATCAAATTATGTATAAAACATGCTTGTTGAACTCAAACAGGAATTAAGTTGTTTTTTGTTTTTTTCAGGATATGCATAACAGAGGTGTCAAAATCATTAGGAGAGCCTTGATGTTGTTGCAGATGTTCACACTTGCTCAGTTTGGTTGTGGAGATAAGACTTTCCATAAAAACATGCTGAAAAAGACAGAGAAGGGAAACCACTGGGGGTATGTCATTGTGTCTACATGTTTAGGAAATTATATTGTTGAACCAGTGTACTGTGATAAACAGAAAAATGATTAACAACAATATTATGTATTAACCTTCTCATTTACTGTGCATGTCACAAGGTTTTAGTGACTTATATTAAAAATGTTATTAAACTACTTTTTGTTTATGTTATACCAATTAGTATAACATAAAATCGTAGCTAATAATTCATATTTTGATAGTATATAGGATTTAAGTTCTTAATTTTATAAGACAATAATTTAAAAATCCTGAATATCCCCTAGTGTGAGAAAAGTGACATATTTTCTCTAGGCATTCTCTCTTTATTTTATTCACCAGCCCTCCAATAAGTACAAAATTTAACGTAAATTACTATAAAATCGTCATTGCTCAGACAAACCATGATTTTTATAGCCTTCAGTTTTGTTTGGTTACAGGGCCATCAAATAGAAAATCAGACCCCTTTTGCCACATCCACCTGTACATTCTCTCTTTCAGGGTTTGTTAATAGTTTTCTCTTACGTTTAATTATGTGTTATGTGATACCAATAGAAAGCCAAGGTTTTCATCTATCAAATTACGTATTATATTACGTTGTGTTCTGAACAGAGAATTGTCAATTTCTCTGTTAGTATAAGTTTTGTTCTCATGGGAAAGATAAAGACTAGCTTTGATGAATTTATAATGACTTGTCACACAGTTAGAAAGCCAAAAAATTTTTATAGTTAGGGAATATTGTCTGCTTTTTGCATATTATTAGTCTATGTTCTTTGGTGCATTATTTAATTAAATAGAAATTATTTAGTGCATCACAACCATTAGTAAAAAAAAAAGTAGGGTTAAGTATCATCAACAGTCAACAGCAAAAAAAACAAAGACCCAGGTAAGTACTTTTTTCTTGTTTTTCATGTTTATTCTTCATTTATTATTATAAAAGTAACTAACATGTGAAAACAGGGATCTCTCTAGGTTAGATTAGGTAAACTAAATAATAATATAATAAAAATGTTTCGTAAGGCACGCAGGTGAGCAGCTTATGAGTAATGTAATTCAATAGCGTAAAGTGAGCTCTACATTCCCCAGTGATTTACAACTTATAATGGCACGAATAGTAGTTAGACATGGTTCAAAGGGCAATAAAACAATAGAATTTAAGTATAAATAGATGTATGCAGCTGAGTTTAAAGGTATGTAGAATAAACAAATTTAGTTTCATGTTACAATTTGAAGTCATTCTAGAAAGAAAAAGGTAATTTAGATTTATTTAATTTAGTTTTTTTTTGGTGGTTATGAGCTCGGTCAAATTGACCAACCTTGTATAGAGTTAGGGTAGAGAAAATATCAGATAAAATATAAAGTTTTACTGAAAACAAACATTTGAAATGTATTTAGGAGGTTTTAGAGATAACACAAATGAAATTTTAGATTTTTGAGATAAAGTATTTTTAAACATAACATAAAAATCACTTTGCACACAGACTAGTCAAAACAAATACTTGATGTATTCACGGACAAATCTTTTTTCTAGTTTATTAAAAATACTTCACTGAAAAGATATAATTTTTTTGTGTATGAAAGACTTAAAATGTTTACTGTTTGGTGAATATATATGTACTATATTAAAAGTTAGTAGTATCAAAACTATAAAGACTTTAGATGAGTACAAAGAAGTCGCTTGGTCATTCAAATTGACCGAGTCCGTGTTGAGAGAGTTACATGTGATAATGATTTAAAAATAATACAAAATCCATGTATCAATAACTAGTTAAATTTACTACTTCAATAACACTTGCTACATGCTACGTTCACTGGTAGGCCTAACTTCACAAACGACAGAAGATCTGAAGTTAATGTATGCCTAAGTTACTTATAAACTTGCAAAATTTCATATTGATTTAATAGACAACTAACATACTGGGTAAATCAATCACTGAACATATCATGACAGGCTCCCTCTAACAAACAAACAGCGAAGTTAAAATAAGCTTACAATAATATTTTAAAGACTGATATTACACAAGTAAAGACTAATTGGGGCTGTACATGATAAAGACTTGCAGTATGTTACTTATATCACACAAATAAAGATTGTTTGTGATGCTGGACATGATAAAGACTTGCAGTACATTGCTTAAATTACATAAATAAACACAGCTGATAAACAACATAAATTAACCCTTTATCAACTGCTTGCTATGATTCGTAGCACCTAACGTTGCTATCCCTATGTTTCATTTCAAAAATAAAACTAGTGGGTGAAATTGTTTGACATTTGCCAATAATTTTCCTATAAGTTTGTAGCTTCAGAAAAATATATTAAATTTTGTTTTTCTTTACTATTTATAATAAAAAATTCATTATTTAATGTAGTTATTTGCACTCTGAATAGTTCACCTGCAAGGTGATTTTATATGAAGTATAAAAATACTATTTTTTTTTATATTACAATTTTCACATTTCATTTACATAATACCTAGAACCTCATAAATCAATATATCAAAAGTTTTTTAAAGTAAATTTTTATATTTTATTTTTATTTTTCTCTACTATATTACTAACTGTACCTATTATCACAGTGCAACAAAATGTTTAAAATTAACAAATGGAAATATGTACATACCTTTCAACTCTTTGTGGTTTTTTAAACTTCTTTTTTCTTGTCATATGCATAATTTCCCATTTTTATCTTGTCACTTAGTCTATTTTTAATTTTCCTTTCAAATTCTTCTTCTTTTACTATTTATGATGATACGTCAACTGATGCCTATGGGGCTTTGTGAAGTTATTTCAGCAGACACTGTGCACAGAATCGTTGGAAAAACAAGATGGTACTTATACATGCGCTGTGTTTATAAGCTTTCACAATCCAGGAGGCAACAATTTTAACTTAAAAAAAAATCATTAAACCTTTCCAAATATGCATTCTAAAACACAAATGATACATAATTAACTAAAATATAAAATTAAAACTTAAATGTGATTTAACTGTCTATCAATGTAATATGTATAAGGCGAGAAAATACAGCCAAATGCTATGGACCCTGCTCTCAACAATGGACTGAGCTTCTTTTCTATCTCATACATACAAATCCATACATTGGTATTGTCTCTTTGCCTAGGTAGGTAAATAGCAAGAAATCTGTTCTTTCAACAGCTTCAACTTTGCAGTGGGTGTTGCTGACCTTAAACTAGAGAAAACTTACGATGGTTTCCTGTAGGGAGAAACTCGTGGAATGTCCCAGATGGTGATAAAATACATGTGTATGGTGGACTTCAATTGTCTCAAATAGCACTCTACATTAGCTACTCACAGTTTCTTGTATAAGAGTTCTTAAAAGTTGAGAATTGTAATTGAGCGCAGATCACGTAGCAGCACAAACTGCAGTTTTAATTGCTGTATCAGATAATATAAAACTTGAAATTATAATATACTTGATAATAATAACTTCATTAAAAATACATTGATAGTAAAGTGGTTTGATTAAGTTTTGAATTTGCAGAAAGGAATTTAAAAATGGCTGCAGGAGTTATAGGGTTAAGCTTGTAGGCAGAATTTTACTATTTAGTATTGTATTGTGATGTGACAGTACCAGATTTTCCCACTTAATTTTTTGTTAAATTAATCATATGTAAATTTTGATTTTGAATTTTACATTTTTGTATAAAAGAGCCTCTTAGCTTCTTTTTTCTTTCAATACAAATATGGTGATGGGTATAAAGAAAATAATTATACCATCTCATTAAATGGTATGATGGTATGACCATAATAATACCATGTACAAATATAAATATCCAGCATCAATACATTAAAGCTTGATTACCTAATTTTTTTTTCTATCTTTTCAACAGAGACCTGCGAGCTAACTTAGAAGTAGCTATCACCAAAGTTGCCGAGTTAGGAGCTCAACAAGAGCCACAGAATATTGATAGTGATTACACTAGTGATTCTGAAGATGTGAGTATTGTTCTTGTATCTACAGAAAAATACAGTAATTAATTAGTGAATAACCAAAGTATGAGTACTGATTGTTACAGAGTATTATCATACAAGTTTAGTATTCTCTTTCCTTTAGACTCCAGCAATTTTCTGTAATGAAAAGTTAACAGCAGCTGTAAGAAAAGATTTAGCCAGTGCCATAAGGGATTTATTACAGCATGGGTTAATGCCTGTAAGTAACAGTCACTTGAATTTTCTTAGATATACATATATATATATATATATATATACACACACACACACACACACACACACAAAAGAAAATAGTAAAAAATTTACCGGAATAGTGCACTTTTCTAAGGGCGAATCTAGACTATACAGTGTCATTGTATAGTTGGTGCAGCAGCTTTTTTTTACTTTTAAACATTGTTTTTTTTTTATTATTTAGAAGTTCAACATTGAAGTGGATGAAAATTTCATTGTTATCTGTTAATATAATTTTCTGTGTTTCTGTTTTTGCTTTCTGATCCTATAAAATTTCTTTTCAAGTTCAGTTAAGCTCCAAAGGTAATAGAAAGCAATTGATAATGATCAAATCTAGTTCTTGAAATCTGAAGTACTTAAACACTTCATCAAAACAACTGACTCGGGCTGCTCGAGGATAATGACAAACCAATAAAATGAACAGTCATTTATGTATTTTGATCATAAGAAAAGAAATGTACTCTCAATTCTTAATTGATCTTATGGATTATACAATTTCAGATAGGACAGAGCACTAGTTTGGTGCCTATCGGCTGTTTTCCTGTGCGATCAGGAGCAGCAGCATCTAAAATGATGCATTCATGGGATCTGGTGCTAAAATATTATGAACTAAAGGTAAGGATGGTATTCTCTGCTTTTATCAAACCTTGCTGTTTATAATGTGTAAAAACTTTTACTTTTTTTTAGTTTTAAATATGTAAAGGTTATTTTGCAGTATTGATTTAGGTTTATAACAATGTTTGGGAATAACATGGGTCCTATTGGTCCATCTTGGCTGTTCATCCTCTAAACTAAACTAAAATTATTAATGAATAATTTTTTACAAAATCTTAACACCATCCTCTATCATTCATATACTTATCAAGCTTTTTCTTAAACTCACTTAAATTTACTGCCTACACAACATCTGAAAACCACCCATTCCAAAGGCTAAACACCCTGTTAGAAAAATTAAGCTGTCTTAGTGAAGCCTCCTACCCTGCCACAATTTATATTTGTGTCCCCTAGTCCTACTATTTTCACTGTTAAGTATGAAAAAAGATTATGCATTTAAATGTAAACCATCCATTCCAAAAAACTCATCATCTACTAAGCTGATCCCACAAGTCCAACCAGCCAATCTGCTCATCCTTACATACTAACCTAACTCTAGAATTTAGCCCTGGTGGCCTATTTATAAGTTCATCCCCATAGTTAATTATTTGCAGTATCCCTGACAAAATTAAATTATGGCCTTTTTCTTTAAATGTATCTATAGATGTATTGTTAGAATGGACGTTTTACTAAACACATAATACATGTATGTATAATTAGACTGGATCAACTAACTTCTTACTAAATACACAGTACACGTGTATTATTAGAATAGACCTACCATAACATTTACTAAATACGCAGTACACATGTATTATTAGAATAGACCTGCCATAACATTTACTAAATACACAATACATGTCTGTATTATTAGACTGGATCAACCAACTTCTTACTAAATACACAGTACACGTGTATTATTAGAATAGACCTGCCATAACATTTACTAAATACACAATACATGTCTGTATTATTAGACTGGATTGCTAATTTTCTACTAAATATGTAATACATGTATCTATTATTCAAATGAATCTGTTAACTTTTTACTAAATACTCAATAAATGAATGTTTTATTAGCGAGGATCTGCTAACTTTTTACTAAACACACAATACATGCCTGTATTATTATAGTGGATCTGCTAACTTTTTACTAAATATGTAATACATGTATCTATTATTCAAATGAATCTGTTAACTTTTTACTAAATACTCAATAAATGAATGTTTTATTAGCGAGGATCTGCTAACTTTTTACTAAACACACAATACATGCCTGTATTATTATAGTGGATCTGCTAACTTTTTACTAAACACACAATACATGCCTGTATTATTATAGTGGATCTGCTAACTTTTTACTAAGTACACAATACATGTATGTATTATTAAAATGGATCTACTACCATTTTAATAAGTACACAACACATGTATGTATTATTACTTGGGACGTGGACAAAATGATTTGAGACTTGCCCATTATGACTTGTGACTTGACTTGTTGACAATCCAAGTAAAAAAAAAAATCTTGAATTTTCCTGCAACAAACCTTACCAAATGGACATGCTACGCAGTGTTTACATAAACTCCTAATCGCATGGGTCTAGGATATCAACATATTACTATATGTGTACATGTACCTGCAGACTTATACAATCTCATTGTCAGGGTCAAGAAAGCTAATTCTTGTCTAGAATTCAGCTACATGCAGTGCATGTGCCTGGACTACATGCTATCATATACGAGTTGTGAACAAGACTTACCCAGCTACCCATCCATCAGACACTGAAAGTACATTCTAGCATTTATGTGTCTCACAGAAACCAATAGTAACAATTGGGCTACTTTTCAACATCTTGAGCCTTGCCAGTCCATGAAAAATGTGGCAACCCTGCAACACTTAATGTCAAATGTTATTGGCTAGCCTGCATGTACAGTGTATGTGTTCATTGTTTATGTATTGTCAATTCAGCAAGCTAGCAAAATGGCAACTATAGGAGCTGGTATGACCCCAAGAGTTATATTATTTGGCTTTAGAGACTGCGAGTGATCAACCTCAAAGATCTGCTTATTGTAAGACATGCAAAAGTAAGGTCACTGAGGGACCAAATACTACTCCAAATGCTGTGCAGCACTTGAAAATCCACACTGAGAGGTGAGTAGCTTCTCCTATTATCGATATTACATCGTGTATTGAAAAAGATGATCTAGGCCTAGCTTAGGCTTATATTACAATGTAAATGCAAATTGCCCAGGTTGAGTATCAAGGTATGATGTAATGTCATCCTATTTTCATTGCAACATGGCCATATACTTAAGGTGCACATTTAATGGGCCTGAATTTTGTCCCCCCTCCCCCCAAAAAAACTTTAAAATTCTAAAACAATGTCAGATTTTGAAAGAAGAGGATCGAGTTAGCATGTAAGTTAATAAAAAATAAGATGACACTTTTATGGGAGATACTTCTAATGAGTTGATAAATATAGTTGATATGATGTCTTATCTTGTTACCACAAGCTACTACAACAAAAACTTGAAGTTTGTTTTTTTAAGTGTTCATAATTCATAAATTAATAATTGCTTGTTGTTTAAATATAAATATGATCAACATGATATATATATATATAATATATATATGATTAATCATAATCATATCAATTCTCCTTGAATACATGCCCAATTTTTATGGAGTTATTAAAAGCACCGTAAAGCTTAAAGGAGCAAAACAGGATTTTTGCTGTCAAAATGCATTTAAATCAGACTTCAAAATTCAAAGGTCATTTAGGAGTCAGATTGGCAAAAAAAACTGAAAATTTTATGATTGACTTTAATCAAACTTGCATTGCCCAAATTTACAAGTCTCATTCATCCGTCAAGGTTTACTTTTGTATAACTTATTTCAAAAGATGCTAAAGCTTTCACAAACTTGTCCTTAGCTCCAGTTTATTCCTTTTTTTAATAATTAAAATGTTTTTTTTTAATTATTTAAATCCTTGCACGGATATAAAGAGTACTGTGATTCAAAGATGAGCCGGTATTACGGATCAGACCCAGAGATCAACTACATCCATCATTACTAGCCTAGTTGCTGTGTATGGAGCATCACATCCCCATCAGTGAGCCATTACCGAGGCAATTATATCTGGCCTTATTATTAACTTTGGGATGCCTTTATCAGTAACTGAACATGATAGTTTCATCATTTCATTGATATTTTAGATAGCAAGTATGAGCTAATTAGTAAAGGAACTGTATCATCCCACAGAAGTGACATGGTTACGAAACAACAAGACCTCATCAAGGCCCAACTACAAGAAACATCCTGGGTTTCTTCCACTGTATACATCTGGTCAGACACACAGATGAGAGATTTCCTTGGTGTGACTGCCCATGCAATTGAAATCAAGAAGTTTGCCGTCAACCTAAGGTCGTATCTGTTAAGCTGCAGCATATTCACAGCTGTGTGCATGTAGTGTTCAATAAGAAAGTCCAGAAAATGTGAAAAGATTGAGATTGTTCTGCTTTTGATGCTTAACTAGTTTGAACTGTTGAAGTTTTGCATTTTATTGAAAAATAATAAGTACACGTACAGTCACTAAAATAAAGTTGAGTCTATTACCAGTCTCCATATGAATCACTAGCTCAAATGAAATGTACACAAGGCACAAGCACACTGTTTGGAGACCTTATAGTGTAGCTGGACCAAAATAAATGATAGTTCATACTTCCTTTACCAACCTGTGTGCCTCAATTGGATTTCCACCACCATTGATTGTTGCATATGAGGCACAAATAGTGTATGACCAGTTTGTCTCAGCATGACATCAAATTCAAATGATATCCAGCTTATTTCATTTATGTATATTGGAAAAGATTCCTTCCAAACAAACAATTACTAAACCTGTGTAGAAACAAACTGAGGGTGAATTATTTTGGCTTCCATAACCAACTAACAAAAAACACAGTGTGCTTTCTACTTTATAGATCATTTGACTAGCTCACAAACACATTTTATCATTATGACTTGACTTGCAACTTGGACAAAATGACTTGAGACTTGCAGGAAATGACTTAAGACTTGATTTGGACATGCATAAAATGACTTGTTACCAACTCTGTTATTAGAATGGATCTGCTAACTTTTTATTAAATACACAATACATGAATGTATCATTAGAATGAATCTGATAACATTTTTCTAAATACTTGATACATGTATATAAATTTATTATTAACATAGTCCTGCTAAATCCATTTATAAGCTAGGACGTTAAAATACTTAAAATTTTGAAATTATGTTACTACATAAATGTTTGTCTTATGTTACTTGTAAAAATACTTGAGATAATTTATTTCATTAACATTAATTAATATGATATGACATCATAAAAAAGAAGCTTCTGCCTGTTTGTAATTAGGCTTATATAAACTTGTAATTTTTCAAGATTTCTGAAGAACGTTGTTCATTTCAAAATGTTTCTTAGTCACTCGAGAGATTTGTATTACAGAATGGGAAACAGTACAACACCTCTCCAGCTAGGAAACTGTCTCAGAGTTTTAACCTTGAAATTGTAGGAGGAACTGCTATAACTCCAAAACAGGTGCTCTTTTTTTTTTCTTCTAAATCTTGACTGCATTTAGAGGATCAGTGTTAAGTAACAGAACACGTAGAATTTTGTTAACTAGTATGAGTGTATGTTCACCTGGAAATGTTTGAACATAGATATCAGCTTATTCATCTCGTATTACGTTTGAAGGGATTAGTTCTATTTGTTTGTTTTTTTCCACTTATAAAAGGTTTCTTTTTTTTTTCCATAATTTATTTTAATGAAGTTCAGGATGCATTAATTATATATGGCAAACATTTGTCATTAAAGGCATCTACTGAAAATGAATGCTTTAAATCAAGTTAAGAATATATTACTCCTGTAGGTGAAGACAAGGACTACAAATTAATACATCATTCAGTTTCTTCTTTTTTTTTGGACCAGAAGCTGTTATATATTGTTCTTTCACTAACAGTGATGCTATTTAATGATTTCATAAGTTACATGAATAGAACTTGTGTCATAAGTAGGAGTTTTCCAAAAAAAAGTTCAAGAGATATAGCGATGACATTGTTTGTTTTTTTGTATGTCTGTCTCTAGACTTTTTACATGATAGTTAGAGTTCTAAACAGAAATTTTTAATCAAACTCCACAACTTGCTTCTCTTGGATGTTGCTAAGAACTTTGTTAACCTTAAGATTGAAATAGAAATATAAATTTGGTTCCTGTATGATAACTGTAGTGTTCTAAACAGCAGATTTTAACCATACTTTAAAGCTCACTTTCATTGTAGTTGAAGAAAAACTTTATTGATTTGAGATTAAAATATCAAGGTTGCCATTGCAAAAAATAGAAATTTGGGTTGAGCACAAAATAATTTACAACAACAGAAATACAAATACACCATGTTTAAAAATATATATAACAAATAACGAGCTAATAGCTGTTTCTTTTTTTTTTCTTTTTTCGTGAATATATTTGTTTTATTATATCTCAGTTGACTAAAAGAGATATAAGCTTTTCTTGCACTGAAGGTGAATGCTGTATGTTAGTTTATGAAGCATGCATGGTTACAGTAAAGAGTTAGGTTACACGAGCATAGTTCATTTTTACATCTGTTTATTCTAGTTATGTTTATGAAGACTGGATGATTACAGTAAAGGCTTAGCATAGTTAAGTTTTACATCAGCTTATTCTAGTTATGTTTATGAAGACTGGATGATTACAGCAAAGGGTTAGCATAGTTCTGTTTTATATCTGTTTATTCTAGTTATGTTTATGAAGACTGGATGATTACAGTAAAGGGTTAGCATAGTTCAGTTTTACATCTGTTTATTCTAGACCCTCTTGGGAGCCATAGACAACATCATATGCACCCACACACCTTTAAAGAGGAGTAAGGATTCCCATTTCAAAGCTTTTATTTGCTATGCTTTGAAGTAAGTTTTTATGGTGTTTTAACATGCTTCCATTTGTAATGATGTATGATCTTGAAATATGTTAATTTAATTCATATAAATATTGCCAACCACGATTAACTTAAAAACATAACTCACTTGATTAATCTCCTGCCTCAGTTTGGGTATGAGCAAGTTTACTTTTATCTGAAGTTCTCTGTTCAGCATTGACCTTTGGTAAGATCTTATAGCAAGTTGAGAGGACAAATACATTACACTTACCTAGGACATGTTCCAGAGTGGACATATACATTACACTTACCTAGGACACGTTCCAGAGTGGACATATACATTACACTTACCTAGGACACGTTCCAGAGTGTCCAAATACATTACACTTACCTAGGACATGTTCCAGAGTGTCCAAATACATTACACTTACCTAGGACATGTTCCAGAGTGGACATATACATTACACTTACCTAGGACACGTTCCAGAGTGGACATATACATTACACTTACCTAGGACATGTTCCAGAGTGTCCAAATACATTACACTTACCTAGGACATGTTCCAGAGTGGACATATACATTACACTTACCTAGGACATGTTCCAGAGTGGACATATACATTACACTTATTTATAAGTATAACTTAGGAAATTCTGTTAAATGCTTTCTTATGTTACTTTTGCAATGTTTTTTCATCAAAATTCACACAAATTCAGGAATAGATGTGACCATAGTTGAGAAATGAAGTGTTTCTTGACAGTGTAGTCTGAGATTTAAAAAAAAAGTTTTTACGCTATATCTTGTATATTTTAATGGATGTATTAATTTTTAGTTAGCATTCAGTTTTGACTAAAGAAAACTTCTAGCAAAATTAATAAACATGAATTTTAAGAATGCTGCTATTTTTCATAGTTTTTTATTAAATTCTATAAATAATTAAACTTGGCCAAACTGCACAAGAAGGAAATCTTCACAAACTGTTTTTTTTTTGTTTTTTTTTGTCACTTGTACATTTTTATAAAACAAGAAAAGTAGATAACAATGTATCTCATAAATTCATATTTGATCACCTGACATATTGCAGCAACTCTGATTTATACATAAAAAAAGTACTACAACAACATCTAGATCTTAAATATTTACCATTATACCAGTTAAAAAAAACTAATCCACAAAGGATTTCATTTCAATTAAATTTAATATCTGATTTTTCTATTTTATTACTTCTATAGATTTTCACATTTCTCTGTTTGAAGTTGCTTGATTATGCAGTAATTTTAGCATCAGTCCATTTAATACTTTGATTTTTACATCGTGTGGTGACCAACATTTCATTCACTCATTTTACACTTTTTCATGTTTTACATTCATATTAAGCATGAAGTATCTTTCTGTGCAACTTGTTTTATTTTTTTATAAGTTTATTCCATCTCAATTACTGAGATTTGGATTCTATTAATATTTACAACATAGTAACTCGCATCAACCTATCAGTTGAGAAGAATATGTTTGCATGTTTAGTGATGAACCTAAGCCTTTCACTTTTCTAGTTTGTAGTTACTGTAACTTTTGATAATAAGAATGATGTATAATAATTGTGTCATGGGTAATTTGTAAGTTTCTATAAATAAATATAAAATTATAACTTTTTTTTAAGAATTCCTAATAAACAGGTTTCTATAAATAAATTCTATGGTTCGATTTAATTTTATTATGCCAATTTTTTTCATGATGATAACTTTTTTCATCAACTCTTTAATGACATAGTGAGAAAAAATTGGTGTCATGGTTAAGACTTATTTTGAGAAGCCGTACTTTGATTGAAAGGTACTATCAGCCATGGAGCTATGTTGTTAAGACAGGTAAGTTCAAATATGTGAGTACCGTAATTGTTTTTTTAATTTATAGATTTTTCTATCTAAGCTGAATTATGACATGGAATCTTTTTTTTTTCACTTCAACTGATTCATTAATTTTAAAAAATGGCCTATCAGTTAGCATGATGGGCTGTGGATTGAAATGTTCAAGTAACAACATGCCACTAAACAGTCTCTCCCACAGTTTCAGCTGTAGTGGCATTATAATCGTGAGTACTGTTTGGTTAAGAGTGACTGTATTGGCTGTTGTCTAATGTTGAATGATTTTCCTTCTAGCCAGCACTTCTAGGGATGGCTTTGATTGAACTTTAGATGCCTTTGGCTTAATCATTTAGCCTCTGTGTTGTATAAGGCAGTGTTCAGATTGAAAATACCAGTACAGAAAAACCTAATATGCTTAAAACTTCAGATCACGTTTATTTGCTAATCAGGTACAAACTTGTATGTCTTTACATCATTACAAGATTTAGCTGACTATTGGTCTGATTGAATTCAAAAACTTTTTACTGTACACCAACCTGAAAAAATATTCTTTTTTTTTTCTTACTATATGTGATAATAGATAAAATAAAAACACCACCCAAAGGAAACAAAAAAATGTTTTTAGAAATAAATTAGCATATTGTGGTTCTTGTTATATATAAGTAATCAGATGTTAAATGTTTGTGTATTTAATTCCAAGGATTTGAAGATTCTCTACGATCCTTAGAACGATTGAATCAGTTTGACTTTGATCTTCCAATGGATTTGGCAGTTAGACAGCTTCAGAACATTAAAGATGCATTTTGACAAGCTATTGGAACTTCTACACATTCCCAGTTTCTCTCTTCTAGTCCATTGTCAGTACTGTTAAAAGAAATACTGCGAATTGTCCTTCAAACTGTAACACTTATGTACATGCTTCCCATTCTTGTAGCATTTTCACTTGTATTTACCGAAGCTGTTACTGTGATGTGCACTTGAAAACACTGTGTTCTAAATGATTTTGATGTGAATATGCCTGTGTTTTGAAATAGATTTGTGCTTAAAGAACAAAAAACTAAAATATAATGTTTCAGAAAGAAAAAATAATACAGTCATTGTTTGTTTTTATCTAAGATTTATTATTATAATTAATATTAAACATATTTGTTAAATAGCCAAGTAATTTCAAACTAATGGGAAAATAATGCCCTGTAACTAACTTCTGATGACATTAATACTAGGCAGACATAGAATCAAATCACGTATTTAGTATTTTTTAAAGTGTGTGTTCAGGAGTTGGTAGCATGGATGTGAATACCTAACCTGACTTAAACTTTCTTGTAGACATTTGAGTTAAGCTCCTAGATGACCACAGATTATTTTAATGAAGTCCACACTTGTTGGACCTTGTGTTTAGTTAAACATTGTACACTGGTAGTTTTTAAAAGTGACATATATCAGCTAGTGATAGTAAAATTTGAATGATAATGATATGCTGATTTTAATTGTACAATAAAATGTCAGTATGAAGGCATTGCAATTAAAAACTCTGGTAACAACAGTATAGAAACTTGGTGTTCTGATGAGGGATTTCAAACAGTATACAGATCTGGTGGACTGATGATGTTCAAACAGTATATTATTCTGGTGGACTGATGAAGAAATCCTAACAGTATACAGATCTGGTATACTGATGAAGAAGTCCTAACAGTATACAGATATGGTATTCTGATGAAATTATTCTAATGGTTAAATAAATTATTCTAAAGTGTGTTCATTGTTTTTACATATTTTCACCTGAGCATTTACAGATCTGATGTTTAACCAAGTTATAGTGCTTCTAGTCAATTTTTAACAGTTGTTATAACTGTCCACCACTTTTTAAATAAACAGAAATACCACAATTTAATTCCTTAAACTTGCAAGAGAGAATAGTTCTTTCTGTTTAAGATGCCTCACCAATAAGTTTGAACCTCATAGGATTGAAACTGTAAAGATTTGCAGAGAAACATCTCTATTTTAAAATCCAATGAGTGTAATATAGATATACTACATTGGATAATGTGCCAACTTAAAATGATCCTAAGATATAAGTCTGTACAGTTTTTTCCCCCTTCTTCCATCTATATACCCACAAAATGTTGTTCTAATCATTCATTCCTCTGTGTTAGATTTTTCTGGGTATACCAGTTATTTGAAGTATATCAGTGCTGTAATTGTCCAGTTGTTCTTGCTGGGTTATTGATTTGCTTCTACTATGAGTTGGATTATTCTGTGGTTATCTATTTTGAAACTGAATCACATTTTACATGGAAGTTAGAATTTTTTTTCATGACTCAGTAGAAGTTTGTACTTGATATTAGAGAACACACCCTGAAGTTATGGTAAAACTTGAGAGGTACCTCTGTGATACAATTCTAGGAATTGATTTGTTGTTTTTTTTCATTCATTGTTAAATGATTTTCTGAAATAAGACATTAGTTTTACTGTTAAGTAAGTTTTTGTACCCAAGTTAGTGATGTGTTATTGACTGAGAGAAAGCCAACAAAAGTGATGAGGTAATCTTATTATGGCTCCTTCAGAAGTTAAAAACTAATTAAGAATGGTTATCAACACTACTATCTTGATTTACTTTAGTAAATACTCTACTTTTCAAAATGTGGATAAACTATAAAAACTTTACAAGCTAGCTTAAACAGTTAAAATTACAGCTGTCTTCCACAAACATATCAAACCAGATAAAGATAAAACTTGCCTTTTGAAATAGACTTATCTGGTTAGTGTTGGACATCTTTTCTACTAACAAATTAAACTGGATAAAGTTGAAATCAACCTCCAGAAACAAACTTAACTGGTTAGTGTTGGAGATCTGCTAACAAATTAAACTGGATAAAGTTGAAATCAACCTCCAGAAACAAACTTAACTGGTTAGTGTTGGAGATCTGCTAACAAATTAAACTGGATAAAGTTGAAATCAACCTCCAGAAACAAACTTAACTGGTTAGTGTTGGACATCTTTTCTACT